AATTAGCTCGGGTGGAGATGAGCAAAATCAGATCGGTTTTAAATTACAAGTTAGGCTAAACGCCGACGTTCTGTCCAGTAGGCTGAATCAGCTTAGGGAGAGATGCCCATAGCTCCCAGTTGTATAACACAACACTTTAATCCAAAGAGTTTACACAAAATGCAATAATACAAGGCAAAATAGAAGGATTCTTTTTATTGGTCTCTAAGCATTACATACTGTATCTAAAAAAGAACCAAGAGGCTATATTGAGCGAAAATGTATGCTAAGTAAAAGGGAGGGAATTACATTTTAGAAGTAAAACAACTTGAGGTTGGTCGCATTCCATGGTCTTGGAATAGCTTTGTCGTCCAGGTCCTCCAAATGATATGCCCTTTTTCCAGTAAGGCGAGTTATCTTATATGGCCCTTCCCAATTTGCGTCCCATTTTCCTTCTCCTGGGACTAAAGTGTTGCCTATTACCATCCTCAAGACCTAGTCCCCAACTTTGAACAAGTGCGGATGCACGGTTTTGTTATATTTCTTGGAGAGCTCTTGTTGGTAAGCCGTAATGTGAATTAGCGTCCTTTCTCTTTTTTCTTCAGCAAGGTCTAATCCTAAGACAATAGCTTCACTGTTCAGATCTGGCTCAAAGTTTTTCGAGTGAATGGTCAGTATGCCAATTTCCAATGGTATGACGACCTCCATACTGTGAGCCAGGGCAAAAGGAGTTTCTTCGGTGGAACGCCTTGGAGTAGTCTAGTATGCCTAGAGCACGTTGCGAAGTTCTTCAGCCATCTTTCTTTAGCCTTCTCAAGCCGTTTCTTTAGTCCATCCAAAATAGTCTTGTTTGAAGTTTCAGCTTGCCCATTTGGCTAGGGGTAGGCCGGTGTAAAATTGTAGAATTTGATCTTCAACTCCTCGTAAAATCCTCTAAATAGTTTCCCATCAAATTGTGTGTCGTTATCTGAGATGAGAACCTTTGGCGCACCAAATTGAGTAATGACATTCTTCTAGATGAACTTCTTCATGTCTTTTTCCTTAATGGTCACCAATGGCTCGGCTTCCACCCATTTGGCGAAGTAGTTAGTGGCTGTGATGAAAAACTTACAAGCCCAGAGCCGTTGGAAGAGGTCCCAAAATATCTAGCCCCCAAAGGGTAAACAGCCAAGGACTTGTCAAAGGGAGCAACTCTCTAGTCGATTGGTGAATTTGGTGTGCAAATTTTTGACATTTTTCACATTTTCTCAGATATTTCTATGCATCGGCCTGTATGCACGGCCACCAATACCCTTGCGAAATTGCTTGGTATGCCAGCAATCTTCTCTGAATATGGCTTCCACATATGCCTTCATGAATTTCGAAGAAGAAAGATTCAACCTTGCTAGGCTGAACACATTTTAGATATGGCCCCGTGAAGGACTTTTTGTATAAGGCGTTAGATAGAGAGAGCCAAAACCGCTCTGACTTGGCCCTTATCTTGTTGGTCTTCTTCTTCTCAAGGAGCAAGATTCGATCTTTGTGGAACATTATCAGGGGATCCATCCAAGATGGTCCTAACTCGATGCAGAGGACTTTGATCTCCTCAAGTTCTTCAATGCTTCGTCGCGGCAAAAATTTAATCATCAAGGGATTGGGAAAAGTGCTTTGCATGGAAGCCAATCCAGCCAACTCATCCGCTTGGCTATTCTCTTCATGACCAATTTGCTCCATTCTGATTGTGGCAAATTTTTTAATCTCTGCACATACCAACGCTTGATACTTGGCCATCTTTTTATCTTTAGCTTCATATTCTCCAGATACTTGGTTGACGACAAGTTTGGAGTCGGTGAACACCATTAGTTCGGTTGCCTTCATCTATAAGGCACTTTTTAAGCCGGCTAAAAGAGCTTCATACTCTGCTTTATTGTTTGATGCTGGAAATCCAAGTGTGATGGCATGCTCAATGGTGAGTCTATCCAGTGACATTAACACAAATTCTAGCTTGACGCCGTGTCTATTCGAGGCCCCATCAACGAAGAGTTTCCATATTTCACCAATGAATAACTTCCAACAGTCAGATAGATTTTGAGATTTTTGTAAGTCCAAGGCTTAGGCTTTTTGCACAGGCAACTTCTCTACCTGCTCTTCCATCTCAGTGCTTGGTAGGTCAGTTATTTTTCCTGGGATCTTTTCACTAGTGTCTTGACCTTCTACCCCTTGTACTCCTTCCTCCCGTAGGGCGACATTTGCTTCAGCTGATAGCCCGACCGGACGGAGGGGTATGGTCCAAAATGAAAGCCGCTGGCCGTGCTAAATTCGCACTAGCCATTCCATCTTGATCTGTTTCATATGCCAAATCTATCAGGTAGACAGGGTGAGTGCCTAGGGCAAATTCCGCCACAAAGTCAGCTAGGGCTTGCACCTTGATCGTCGTCTGCGGTTGGAATTTGATGTCATACTGCCCTAGCTCTACTACCCTCTTCAATATTCTACCAGAAAAGTCCACTTTCTCAAATAGCACCTTCAGTGGAAACTCGATCAATACCACTATTGTGTAGGTGTGGAAATTATGGGCTAGCTTTCTGGAAGCCACCATGAGAGTTAAAGCCAACTTTTCCAATGGCAAATATTTTGACTCAGCAGGGGGCAATGTTTTGCTGAGTAAAAAATAGGAAGATGTTGTATTCCCTCGGCTCAGACAAGCACTGCGCTCACCGCGTGTTGAGAAACGGCCAAATAAAGATATAGCTCTTCTTTAGGCTTAGAGGTGACTAATAGAGATGGCAATTTGAACCTGAACCGATAGGCACCTGGCCCTCAACCCCGATTAGAATGGTTTTTCCTTGAAAAATACCCTCGATGGGCCGAGGATGGTATTCGAAAATGAATCTCTAACAATTTTCGGGTCGGCGACTGTGATAAGTTCCTCCGGCCTGGCCCCGTCCCTGTCCCCGTCCTCGTCCCCGTCCCCGTTTCCGTCCTGAATTGAAATTACTATTATACCCCTCTATATATATGTGTTTTTCTAGGGATTTTCGAAGTTAACTTAGCTAATAATATTGGTTGTGCATGCTACTTTGCAAAATTCACAAGTGGTGTTTTTTTTTTTAAAGCAAAAAACAAGTGTTGTTTGGATGTTGTTGTTTTTTTGTTTGTTTGTTTGTTTTATTTTTTATTATTATTATCTTTTTTTTTTGTGGTGTGGGTTTTTTGTATCTTGTTTGTCATGTTGTTGTTGTTTGGATGTTTATGTTTGAACATTGCTAGATTATGCTTTTATAAATATTATTTTTATTTGCCTAAAAAAAATGAGATATGCAAAATTCAAAAAAAAAAAAGGGCCGGGGATTTTTCGGGGTCAAGGAAACCCGATCCCCGTTAGAGAGCGGGAATGGGGGGTGATGGGTTCCCTGCCCTGGATCAGGATCGGGGGTGGGGACAGGGAATTTTATACCTTTGGGGATCTAGAACGGGGAGTGTAATCCCTAGCCTCGCCTCGACCCGTTGCCATTCCTAGTGACCAAGATTAGAGCGGAAGATAAATATTTCTTCAAGTCGGTCAAGGTTCGGTCGCATTCTTCATCCCAAAAGAATTTAGATTTTAAATTTTGGAAGACGGGCCTGCAGCGATCTGATGATCGACTGATGAACCTATTTAGTGCAGTTGCCATTCCGGCAAGATGCTGCACGTCCTTCGTTGAATTCGGCCGTTTCAGCTCTTGTATTGCCTTTATTTGAGAGGGGTCAGCCCCTATTCCCCAATTTGTAACCAAAAAGCTCAAAAATTTCCCTGTCCCTATGCCAAAAGCACACTTGGAAGCATTCAAGTGCAATTTGTGGCGCTTGAATATGGCAAACATTTCAGCCAGGTCGACGAGGTGCTGGGATTTGTTCTTGCTCTTTACGACCATATCGTCAATATAGGCTTCCATAGTACGACCAAGTAAAGGGGCGAACATTTTGGTCACGATTCTTTGGAAGGTTGCTCCAGGATTCTTCAAGCCAAAAGGCGTGACCTTATAGCAGTACAAGCTTCTTGGTGTGGTGAAAGATGTGATCTCTCGACCTGGTTCATGCATGGCTATTTGGTGGTAGCTGCAGTATACATCAAGGAAACTAAATCTTTGGTGACCAGTGGTAAGGTCCACCCGCTGGTCAATTCTTGGGAGTGGAAAACTGTCCTTGGGGCAAGCTCGGTTGACTGTTTTGTAGTCAACGCATACTTCCCACTTCCCATTCTTTTTCGACACCACCACCACCGTGTTAGAGATCCATTTAGGGTATTGCACCTCTTCAATTTTCCCAGCCTCCAATAAGTTCTTGACCTCCTCTGCCACCACCTTGGCATGGTGCAAGGCTAAGCGCCGTGTTCTTTGTATAATAGGCCGAGCGTTCGGGAATACATTGAATTGATGGCAAATGAAGTTCGGATTGACACCAGGCATATCTTAAGGCACCAGGCAAAGACTTCAATGTTGGAGACCAAAAAGTGTACATATTCTATCCGCTCGATGTTGGATAATGATGAACCTAAGAGAAAGAATTTGCTCGGATCGTTCTCATCAATACGAACCTTCACCAAGTCTTCCACTGATTTCTCCTCTGTCTTTCTTCCTACATCTTCCAAGACCTCTTTTCCTTCCAACCCCTCTATCAGTTGAACAAAGCCCTTAGCAGCTTGGCTATCATTTACTGTAACAAAGCATTGTTTGAAAATTACTTGGTCCCCCCAAACCACTTCAATTTGCCCGATCGAGGCAGGAAAACGCATTACTTGATGGTAAGTTGAAGCCACTACTTGCATGGCTTACAGCCAGCCTCTACCTAAGATCAAGTTGTAAGTCGATGGAACCTTCAGTACCTTGAACTCCACTTGTTTCATGACTGACCCCGCTTGGACCGGCAATATGATCTTTCCAATTGGCTATTCTAGTTGTGAGTTGAAGCCAACCCAAAGGAGAAGTTGTTGGGGCTAAGTCTTTGTCCTCTGGCTTCATTTGTTTGAACGCATCATAATACATGATCTCGACCGAACTCCCCTAGTCGATCAAAATTCTTTTGATGTCAAAACCCTTGACACGAACAGTTATAACTAAGGCGTCATTGTGAGGGGCTTGAATTCTCTCTAAGTCTTTGCTTGAAAAAGCCATGATGTCTTGCACCTCGGTCTTCCCCTTCTTTACGGCAGGTTGAACCGATAACACTTCTCTCATGTATTTGGCCTTTTTAATCATTCTTTTGAGCTCACATACTCGCGTTGGCTCAATGATTCCTTGCATGACATTGATAACTCCCTGGGATGCGGCATCTAGGATGGCTAGCCCATTTGGCTCGGCTCGCCCTTGAGGAGTTGCCCTCATGCCACCATCTATGTACTGGTCTAAGTGCCCCGCTGCAACCAATTCTTCTAAATGTTGTTTAAACAGCACGCAGTCCTCTATGTGGTGCCCCCTTTCTTCATGATAAGTGCAGTAATATCTCGAGTTAAAACCCCTCTGAGCATCTCCCAATTTTGTTGGCCACCAGACATACGGCACGCCTCGAATTTCATTAAGGATGCAATAAATTAGAATTTTAAAGACAGTGGTAATGTCGGTCCGTGCCTTCAACTTTCTTTTGGCATCCTCCCCCTTATTGTGAGGAGTGTTAGCCCGGTCATTTCCACAACCCTTGTTTTTGTCATTGCGACCAGCACTGCAGTATTGTTCATTTGTTTGGTTATTGGGGCAATTATCCTCCTGTCCTATCGAGTTGACTTTTTCATCCATGTGTTTGTCCACTACCATCGAATTTGTCTTCTTGGTGGCTGCAGTGGCATCATCCTCAACTCAGATATACTCGTTAATCCTCTACATCAATGATTCCATAGTTGTGGGCTGGTGCATTGTAAATGAGTCCCGCAGTCTATGTCCAACTGGAAGTCCTCACTTGTATTGGGTGGTTGCCAAGTTCGTTGGGCAATCGAGGATCTCATTATAAATCTCCCAATATTTGACATTGTATGCCTTCAACAAACTGCCCGATTTCATCTTAACACCTAGGAAGTGATCGACATCCTTCGGTGTTCTAGTGTTGGTCTTGAATCTTGTGATGAATGCTTCCGCAAGTTACTATCAGCCCTCGACACTTCCCTCCGGCAGCCTTTCGAACCATTTCAGGCCCAACTCCCCTAAGCTCACCGAAAAGATGAGTCACATTAGGGCATTGTTACGTCTATGCCCCGCCATCACCTATCGATAATAACTAACGTGCACGTACAGGTCCGTCTTGCTATCGTATAACGTGAACTTAGCTTGATGGAAGCAGATGGGGAGTGGTGTGCTCTCAATCTCAGAGAAAAGTGGGGTGGCAGTAAGCCTTGCCATGTCTCTGTCCACCGGTGCGTGAATCACAATTCTAGGTGGTGGCATGGCTACTTCTTTACTGGAATGAACTCTAGGATTTAGGCTCCATAGCGCTGGCACTCTCTAGGCTTCTCTATGGCGTGCACACTCCTCTAGGATGTCCCTCAGATCCTTCGATTGGGCAGAGTAAGAATATCTCGACGTCGTAGAAGGACATGAAAGGCGATAACTGCTATCTCGTGTGTATGATCTCTCCGCCAACAGGACGAAATCGTTAGCTCTATAACTTCTGGTAATGGGGAGGGAAAGTGTCCCTCGCCTGTTCTGACTGCCTGAGCGATGGGGTTGGGTGCGCTCATTGTGGTTTCTTGCTCCAACAACACCCTTCCCTTTGATCTGTCGCTTCAACACCTCCATCTCAGCTGCCATCTTCCGAATGGTGGCATCCTGGTCTCGCAGTTTATGCTCCAGGTGTCGAGAGTGAGATTCTTTTCATCACCGTCACTCTTCAAGACGCTATGAACATCTAGTACTCCTCACGCGCTTGTCTCGCGCGTCTCTGGGTAGCCCTCTAGAGGAAGTCTCCAGACTTGTCATGGTCGGAACGGCAGGTAGGATGTCGCGCCTTCGAACTGACTCTGGAGTGATGCCATCGACGACGGACAGCGAAGCTTCGTCGTTGTTTGCCATGAAAAGTGAGCAGAAAAGCTTGGAGGACAAGATTTTGTCTGTTAAAACTTCCCACAGATGGCGCCAATTATACGGAGAGAAAATATTCATCGCCTTCCGTACTCCTTGCTCCCTAGCTCGTCTTGCTTCGATAGGACTCTATCTTACTGCAAACAAACAAGGATGAGTTACCCGGTGGATGGGTTACCAGAAAACCCCTCCAACAATCAAATTAGCTTTCTTCGAGAAGAAGAGAGAATACAATATTCTTCGCCATATAATGTAGCCATAGTGCACTGCTCGTTCCCTGGGTCTACCCTACGCCATGCCTAACCTGGTCGAACTCCCAGCCCTGACATGGATTCTACAACCGTGATGCCTAAAGATAGCTCAACCTAACACCAAACTCCATGTTGTTTTAGCTTGGCCAAATGTTGAGTATAAATCCCCCTCTCAATTGCCCTTTAATTCCATCTGCGTTGAGTGTGATTAGGATTATCTTTCTTGGCCGAGCTATCAAATTTGTCTGGTCCTTGAGACTTGTGTGCCCATTGTTTAGTCATTCATCAATCAATCGTACTTACAACCCGTTATATCAGTGCCACACGGTGCTCCCCCAATCGACTCGTACAGGCTTCCAGCCGTCGTCACGTTCTCCAAAAATTTGAAAATTGGTGCCTCTTCGCCTCTCATTCATAAATACATACTAACCCCCTCCCTTCTCCTATACTGTTCATCTTCCTCAGTGAAACTCTTCGAAACCCTAAAGCTCTTGAGCTCCTATCGTCGCCGTCATCACCATTTGTGTCGTTTCCAATCCGAGGGTGCATTTTCCATCATATCGGACATCGCACTAAAGATTCAACCGTTTATATCTTGATTTGGAATATAAATCTGGTGAGTTCTTCACACTTTTACTCATCTTCTTACATTATTCTTCGTGTTCTTCATTTTCTCCATTTTGGGACTGTTTAACCCTTGTAAATGTGCTTTCTTTAGGATGAAGCTGGTAGACGTTTATAGAAATTCGGCAAACTGAAACCAAAATACATAGAGGGTCTCAAAGCCCTTCGCTCTTCCAAGTTTCAATACATAACTTTGAATTTAGGATAAACAATATAAATTCTAGACAAAACCAAGCAAGAGTTTGACTTTTGATCCAGAAATAAGATCAAACCGGGCTAAAAACATGTTTGTGGTCCCTTAAGTGATTTTAACCGCACTAGAAACTTGTAAGAACATCAGACCAAGATAGATGCCAAATGTTTAGGACTAAGGCCCAAAACTGGCCTAACACTCCAGGCTCTATAACCGAGCAACAAACAAGCTTCGACATTGAAAGTCGAGCTAAATTTTTACAGCTGTGCACTTGTTGCCAGGCTAACACTTGCCCTTGATTTGTAATAATGCAGACTGAACTAGGACCGACCAGGCACACATCATTGGGAATTGGTGACACTCGCAGACCGAGCAACCATACATAGGAACTGCTCAGACCGACCAAAAAATCAATTATAATTAGTAGACAAAATAAAATTGGGATAAATGGGCAAATATTGATTTATGGTCAGTTCGCCTGGGGCTATAACCGAGTTCCACAAGGAGTTTGGCATCCCTGACAACGTCCAATTTGAGCTAGCCAAGAAAGGAGATACACATTGGGGTAAATTGGATGCATGCCCCTTCACCCCATGAGGTAATTTAAACTAACTTTCTTTGAGATTTGGGGAGAAAAAAAAATACGTCAACTTCTATAAGTTTAATATAATTACACTTAAAAGTTTATAAGATTTTAAACCATCGAAAACTTGTATCACTTTCATTAGTATATCACTACTATAATATTGCCATCTTTTTTACTTAAAAAAAAATACCTTGCCTTTATTTATCCTTATATGTATATGTCATTTTCATGAGTTCCACCCATTTTAATTTTAAAAGTTGACGTGATTTGTAAAATTTGTTATATATATATATATATATATTAAATTCAAAAGTAACCAATGTAATTTACCCAGTTTTGATGCAATAATGTTAGAAACTCACATTTTAAGATCAAAAATTTACCTACAATTTCACCCACAATGAAGTAACAAAGAAGGTAGGCTTTATATAATTGAGCGTGTAACTAATCAAAATTGACACCTATAATGCTTCTTCAGCGTAGGTCAAATTGTGAGAACTTTTTGTGAATCTCAAACATTTTCCAATTTTGATGCCACCAAACCCAAGTAATGGAGAGCCTTTGAAATTTTACACTAAGTTCGTAGTCATGTCACAAATAAATTTGAATCATTTATTTATGTGGAGACTATGTAAAACTCATATAAAGAAAAAATTCAAAAAAAAAAATTATGATTGTCATGGGTTAATTCTATTTACACCCACCATCTTTCAATTTTTTTTATTTATTAAAAATTTATTCCTTAATTAAATTATTCTTTTGGACAAAATTCTAACCCTAATTTGTAAGTACATAACACTAACCACCGCCCCCACCTACAGCTCAGCTCCAACTCCAACTTCGGCACCAAACCCTTCCCAGCCACTGATGCCAATCATAAAATGCACAAGATGAATTGAAGATGGGAACCATGAATCTATTCACTGAATTTAATAGCTACAACATGTGCTCTGAAATCAAAGACAGACACGAGAAATGGAATCAATATCCACTGTTTGATTGAGCTAGAGAAACATTTAATTTCAAATAGCATAGAGTACGGGAAGAATGAAATAGCATCAAAGGGCATCATCATATCTTCACGCAGAATAATCATCTAGAGTAACAAAATGTAGCAAACTATCATTATACACGGATATAAAACATGCAAATCCTGGAAGTTTGGCACAACAATGTAATAGATGAATTCTCTATTATAGCGATTTTAAATATTGGAACAAATAGAAATTGTGGGCCAAAAACAAAGAGAATGTAGTGGTAGTTTTTAAGAATCCATTTGTCCAACACATTTGCTCCTCTAACTTGGTTTTGCACTTTTCTTTTCTCATCAAGAGACCTAACCACACACTGATGTCACCCCACATCTAGGGCAAAA